GTATATATATATATATATATATACGGTATATATATGTGTTTGTTGTGATACTTTACTTTGAAGGACATTGAAGCTGTGAATTGGTTCCATTTTGATTTCATTTCTTTTATCTTATTTTTACCCATCTATCCCGACTTATAAGATCATAAGAGTATATGTAACTTAATTATTTGATATAGATACATATTCATGATATAATAAATTAGCTGGAAGATCAATTAAAAATATTTCTATGGATTAAAAACATATTTTATACCCACATTTAAGGATCTTTAATGTTTTTGTTTGTGTCAGTAAAAAAAAGAACATTTTAAATGTCGAGTCTTGTTCGATCTCTAGTTTAGACTCTAAACATTAAAGAGGAGATGCGTCAGTATTTCAAACTCTCTAATTGAACAAGTCGACTCTTCATTTAACCACAGAGAGGATTCTCAAAGGAGAGAGAAGGTGACATGTATTCACAGCTGCATATAGAGTCAGATTCATGACTCACATTTTATTGCATATAGAATCTCCTGCAGGCCTCGGCAGTAAATCCCGGTGACGCACCGTCGCCCCTCAGCTTCCTCGCTCATCACTCTGTGTTTAAACTTCATCTGAAAACAATAAACCCGTCACCGTTAGCGTCCTGAAGGCTCACAGGGAGGCTGAGAGACGAGCTAATGATGCTAACGTTAGCTCAGCTGGTTTCTCTGATGACTAAAATCCTTCGAGTTAAAAATGAAAACGATCTAATGATCCGTCTTTAAAAAAGTGGCTGAAAACTGGATAAAAAGTCAATTTATGACGCTGCACAAAGAGGATATGACGCCACAGTGAAACGCACCGTTACCTCGATTACAGCTGCAGATTTCTCTGGTTTAGAAGTTGGAAACATTTATGTGGAAAAGCTACACATTTAACCTTTTAAACTGTCCCAAAACAAACACGCACGCTGCACCACGCCCAGTGAGCGCTGACAGTGAACACCAGTTGATCCTGGTAACAGCTGACAGTCGAACAATAACCAACCGAACGTTGGCCCGAGTCAGCGCTCACATTTCAGACTCCGAACCGGTGTCGGAAACGTGTGTGAAGCCTTGTGAGAGCTGGATGTGAGCCCTGCTGGATGAGCTTAAACACACACACACACACACACACACACACACACACACACACACACACA